CTCAGCGGTAGAGTGCCCGCCTCACACGTGAGAGATCCTGGGTTCGATCCTCAGCACCAAATTAAAAACATAAATAAATAAGTGAAATAAACGTATTATGTCCAACTACAACTAAAAAATGAATATTATAAAAAAATAATGGGTCTGGGCACAGTGGTGCGTGCCTGTAATCCCAGCAGCTCGGGAGACTGAGGCAGGAGGATCACGAGTTCAAAGCCAGCCTCAGCAACTTAGTGAGGCACTAAACAACTCAGTGAGACTTTGTCTCTAATAAAATATTTTTTACAAATGGGCTGGAGATGTGGCTCAGTGTTTGGGCTCAATCCCCAATACTCCTCCCCCCCCGCCAAAAAAATAAAGAAGTGGTGGGGGAAACTTCTTTAATAAGGCTAGTTTAAGTGAACTAATATATGAAAAAAGGCCAGCAAAGTCTCTGATATGGGAAAGTCCACAAATTTCTTAGGCTAGATTTTCTACAGAGGTGCTGGCTGATTGGAAGCTAGTCACTTAAACAGAATTATTCTTTATTTTAGTCTAAAAATTTGTATTAGGTATAGATAAGAGACAGTTTCATACTTGGAGTCACGAGGAAAGAGATTTGGAAATAAAGTGTCAGGCAAAGTAGGATAAATTAATAGTATTGTCATTTAGACAAGTCCTAGAGATGGGATGAAGTTTTTGTTTTTGATAAGTACTTGGACTGGTTAGAGGTTTAGTTACAGACAGTAACCTTAAAGTGAAGGAACTGGCATTATTTTCTGAGCTTCATTCAGTATATTCAAAAGAGACTGTCCTGGCTCAGCTGGGCAAGGGAGTAGAGCATGTTCTCAGCGACATTGAGGACATCTGGGTCTACTGACAGGCAATGCAGTAATAGCTCCTCCTCTGTGTGGGAATCTGAATTTTCAGTGACTCCTCAGTCACTCAAGAAGGATATTTTTTTTTTGAGAGAAGGGAGGGGCAAATTAGCAGGTACAAATCTGGAAAACAATACACGATTTCCCTAGACAAAGTTGGGAGACTTTCAAGAGCATCCTCCTTGTTTTGATCAATATTTATTTCTTTATAAATTTTTGCCGAGATGGTGGAGACTTAATTTTAACATAGATTCCACTAGGATTGTAGCTAAGTTAAAGGGAGCTTATGTAGTATCCAGATGTCCACATAGTGCAGCAGATTTAATCCTCAAGGTCTTCTATTCATTTTGGCATCCATGGAGATGCCACCTACCTAACCATTCAGACTGTTGCCAAGTGTTCCCTCATTCTTGATTGTGAGGCCTCTTTAGGATCAGAAGTTTCTCAACCATTCCTTGGCTCACTCAGGCCTGTCTGCTTAAACATAACACTCAACCATTTGATTCTGGGGTCCTGCCACAGTACTGAGTTCCACCTGGGAATGGAAGCATTGATTCTATTGTTCTCATATAGAGTAGAGTCAAGTCCTGCAAACTGATTTGGAATTCTGTTGTCCTCCTTTCCCACTAGGGATTAATCTTGGGGAGAGGTAGTCAAAGTATATGGGCTTTCTTCTTAGGAGCTGTAATAGGCATAGATTATTTTAGTTCAAGTGATGGAAATGCTAACCAGTAGAGGTTTAAATAATTAGTTATCTCACATAATAAGAGATCTGGAGATGTAATAATAAGAGGACTAGTATAGCAGCTTAACTGTACCACCAAGAATTCATTTTTCTACCACACTTCCCCTATGTTATCTTTTTTTTTTTTTTTTTTTTTTTTTTGATACTGGAGATTGGACTCAGGGGCACTCAACCACTGAGCCACATCCCCAGCCATTTTTGGTATTTTATTTAGAGTTGCTTAGTGCCTTGTTGTTGCTGAAGATGGCTTTGAACTCATGATCCTCCCGCCTCAGCCTCCCAAACTGCTGGAATTACAGGTGTGCACCACTGAGCTCGGCCCGACGTTATCTTTACTGAGTTTTGTCATTGTGTTTATCACAACTGTGCTTTTCATGTTCACAAAGTGATTGCCATATATCCAGGTGTCACCAACTAGGTTCTACTCTACCAGAAAAGCAGAGACTTTCTCAGAACCCCCACATTCCCAGAACATTTTCCTCATATCACATTGTCCAGAACTATGTCATACAAGGTCAGAATATGTTCAGAGTTAGCATGTGAGACTGAGGAAGTGAGTATATGGATTTCTAGCCTTTTTTTGAAGGTGGCAAGCGTTCAGGAGATTGGCAAAGTTATCCGAGTTCTTGCTTTTCTTTTCTCTCCATTCCCCATAGTTTAATATAGTCTCTTTAGGACAGATACTTATTTATTCTGTTCAATGCCCATTTCTAGGTACCCACTGCTTTCCTCTACTCTATAAGTTAGAGATATTTCGATGCTTGATTTCTCATCCTCTCTTGCTTTTAAGAGTGGTCATGTGACCTGATTCTAGCCAGTTCAGGGAGTGTGTGCACACACATGTGTGCAGGCACACATGCGATTTCCTTTCCCAAATAGAGCCAGAGAAACTCACTGTGGAAACTCTTTACCTTTTTTTTTTTTTTTTTACTATTATATGGAACATAGTCTTGATGCCATCTTATGACTATGAGGGAACAAAATTGAGGATACCAAGACAATGGAATAAAAAGAATTAATTTGGGATATGATAACAACCATGGACCCATTCATTGCATCAGATCTGTAGGTTCTACCTCTAAACTTTTCATATGAGACTAATATACTCCAATTTGCTTAAAATAATTATAGATTTTCTGCTACTTTCTGTCAAATATAATCCTAAGGCAAGAAATCATATCCTTGTATCATTATATAAGTCTTCCAAATCTATTGTTTTTGCTAGACCTGTCTAGCTAGACCTGTCCTAAAGGGTTCCCATTTTCAAAATTCAAAGGCAAGAAAGTAATCTCTTTTCCCTGATATTTTGCTGTGTCAGAAAGTGATGTTACATAATCTGTCCAAATGAGGAAGGGCTATATGAGATACAAAGAATGACAGGGAAATAATTCCTGATAAATATTTTAAAATATGTGTCATCATAGTTACAAATGCACAAAAGCCCACTCAATTTAGGCTAAGGCAGAAAGGGAACTTATCTGATGGATGTGAGCATATCTCACAGATCTAAGCACAGAAAGTGTAGCCTCATCCTGCTATGGACTAACTACCACCGAGGGAGGGAAAACTGCTAGGAACCAGTGCAGGTCTTTTCCCCTCCCTCTATGAACACATAACCTCTTATCATCTACTTTCTTCTTCTTATTAACAATGGCCGTTTTTTTTTTTTTTTGTCTGTTCACATAGCAGAAAGTAGTCATTTCACCCTTATCAGGTCAAATGCAAATTAAATTGAGTAACATTTCTTTTTCTATTGTTTAAGTTCTCTGCAGAAAGAATCTGATTGGCCCAATTTTTCATTGTGCGTCAGTCTTTAATCAAATTAGTGATCATAGGGATGGGGTCAAATGAGTGAATCTTAGAGGCTAACGGAAAATATTCTTTTGAGAAGGGGCCTTGGGTGTGTGAGAGTGGCTGTTGGAGAAGAAACAATGGGCATCTTATTATTCTTCTGAAATTTTAATAGGCTTATCAGTAAACCAAATTAATGATTCATTTATTATAGAAAAATCAGTCACTTGTTCCTCCCTGTATATTTTTTCTCAAGGAATGTCAATTCATTCTGCTTGCTCATGTCATAAACTTCTACATGACTAGTAATCCTAAGCAATTATTAACAGTAAACAATTTCTATGTACTATGTGATAGGCATTCTACATGCATTATCTTAAGCTGGACTTCACTACTACTCTACAAGTAAGTATTATCTATTTTATTAATAATCAGTGAAATTTAGAGATGTTAAGTCAAGCCTCCAAATCTCCTTTGAATTACCATAATAACAGCATGTCTTCTTGCCTCTAGTTTCTAATCCATTTTTTTAAACCTAGTAATCATGATATTTCTAGAACACAAATCTGATCATGTTTCATTCCTGTTTAAAATTAATCTTTGATGGTTCCCTAAGTCTAAATCCCTTTAGAAATCCTTTCACAATTTGGCCAATCTGCCTTGGGCATGCTAGGCAAGAGCTTTACTACAGAGCTACATCCCCAGCCTGCAACTGCCATCTTTAGCCACCTCTATCTACATCTTTTTAGTCAAACTATCCTCAAACTATACAAATTATCTGCAGTACTTGCTTGTTATTTTGTCCTTTATTTTGTTTTCAATTAATATAATGATTGTACATATTTATGGGGTAAGAGTTCATTTCTTCTCTCTGTACAATAACCACTTAGTAGTTCTCCTAGCTAACTCCTACACATTACCTGCACTCAGGGCTCCATGCAGATGTTACCCTATTTAGAAGCCTTTCCTAATTGAATAGGGTTCCTCTTCTTAGCTCTCCTGTAGCACTCAGCATTTTTCTGCTGAATTTATCACACTGTACTGTAATTGCTTGTTAATTTATTTGTTCTTCTGCTCTGGACTATAAAGTCAGTGGAGGGATTATGTCTGGTTCAAAACTGAATATATAAAATGAATATAGTAAAATGCTTTACATGTAGTAGTTTAATAAATATCTGTTGAATGAATGAATCTTAAGAAAAAGTTTCACAGAGCTGCCTGGAGAGAAACAAATATTTGGCATTTCCTGTTTAGTGAATGGATTATTCTGAGAGTTGTTTCCTTTATCACTGTACTTTTGGCTCACAATTTATACAAATTAAGCAGAAAAAAACTAAAAAAAATAATAGAATTAGTTGAGAAAACATGTCACAAGTGATAATAAAGTGATATAAAGCAAGTTAAAAAGTGTCAAACCTAGTGTAAATAAAGTTGGATGAAACAATAAGTTTGTGGGATTAGGGGATAAAAATCAAGGAATTGAATGTTTTTCTCAGAGTTTAGCACATGGAATGTGCTTTGATGCTAATATTGATACTGGTCTTGGAGATCAGGAAGGAGTCCTTTTCCTCCAGTGTTGATGATTAAACACCTGAGAAACGTGGAGGCAAGCTTAGAAAGTTTTATTTAAGAGAGGGACAAAGGATGACGTAGACTTCTTCAAAAAGAAGGGGGCCAGAGCTGGGTGCCCCCAGGAGTAGGTGTGTCTTGCTCTTTTTAAGACCTCCAGAATTCCCCATATTCTCAGGAAGGAGTTGGTAAATACAATCCCGTAGAGGTGTTAGCATCCCAGTTGAGCTGGTAAAGTTTGATCCTGTAGGTTAGCTGTTAACAACCCAGGGATAAAACACTGTCATTCTCTCTTGACCCCCATCATTCATTGTCTACACTGACTGCCAGGCCTTCTGCCCTCTGCCTTAGTTTGTTGAGGAATGTGACATTTCCCATCCCCCAAGGCCAGGTGGGGCTGCAAGCAGACTGTTTTTTGGCAAAGAAAGCCTGTGGGGAGTCAGTACAGTGGGCTCATTTTATAGAATTATTCTGTTAACCTTGTGTTCCCACCATTCTCAGCTATTTGTCCCCTGACAAAACCTCTCACTTAATCTTTATAATAATTCTTTGAGGTTGTTATGCCTGTATTAAACATAAGAAACTTGAAAATCAGGTTAGAATAAAATAAAATGAATGAACTTGTGTCTTTGACCTACAAATTAGAAGCACATGAACGAAATGAGAATCTGTCCTAGAAAATATTATGGAGATTGAGGGTAAACTGTATCACATCCCAATCATCCACTTGTTGGGCCTGGTTTCCTGGATCAGTCCCAGAGCTCTCCTAAAGCGATTTCTCTCACTTTCTTATTTATTTCGGGTTATAGGGATGCTTCATTTTTTTTTTTCCCTCCAGAATAAATTCCACCTCTTTCCTCAAGCTCGGTCTCCTTTCTTCCTCCAGGATAAATTCCACCTCTTCTCTAAAGATCTGTCTTATTTAAGCTCTCCCCACCTCCCAGTGGGCTGAGGACTGAGTCCAGCGTTTCCCCCTTCCCCCACGCTAGGCCAGTGCCTTACCGCTGAGCTACACCCTCAGTCCTTTTGAGCGAAACTTGCCTCCTAGGGACCCGTTTTCTGATTTAGCTAAATTTTTCGAATCAAGTAAAGCACCAGACATCTCTTCAGGGGAATTGTCAGCAACACAAGCAGTGAACAGCATAATAGATCGGGCAGAAAAAAAAATTTAAAAATGTAAGATCTTTAACCGTGGCTGTGTTTAAGTGACCACATACGGTACTATGCAGTAAGAAAACCTGAAGTAATTCTCAAGTTCTGTCGTTTCGAATTTAAGTCGGGTCATATCTTCTTGAACCAAGTCTCGGTTTTGTTACTAATAAAAATAGAATCCTAGTAGAGTCTTTTGCTTTCTCTGGAACTCCGGTAAGGATAAAAGGAGCTGTTATGTGAAAACGCTTCGCAAACATTTGGTGAAATGTTGAAAAATGCTTTGTAGCCGGCCACAAACAGGACCAGAACAGGTTTCCCCTGCCGAAGAAACGTAAAGACCAGTCGCTAGGGAGAGGAAGCCACGGTTGCTATGTGACGTCATTACTCCGCGTCTGCTACGACATTTCCCAGCAGGTCTCAGGGCCGCTTTCCGCGCCATGGGGACTTGGCAGCATCTGTTCCTCTGTGGTGGGCTGTTGCTCCGAGGTGGTGGCAGGATCCCTGCCCCGCTTGGGAGAAGCCGGTCATTGGTGTGTCGGCGCCAGGTCCGTGGTGCTGCAGAGCTGGGGGAGGCGGGCGGGACGACTATGTGAGGCGCCTGGGCTGCAGGTCCCCCTGGCATTGCTTCTTGCCAGGGACTCCACTCAGTCCCTCTTGGGTCCCTTCCAGTTGCAGGCTCTGTGAGACTTCAGTTAGTTGGCTGGGCTTGCCCGCTTTTCCAGCAGGCCCTCAGTAGGACCGGGCTGAGACGTGGCGGGGCATGAAACAGATGGTTAGAACACGGATGTGTGTGGCACATTGCTTTCTTGGTTTTGGGTTATTTAGTAAATAGGTTAAAGAGAAGGAAAACACGAGAGAGATTTAACTCCGTAAAGAGGCAACTTATTTCCATTTAAAAAGCATATCTTAGCAGAAACATTTCGGTTTAAACAATGTATCTTTACAATTGTGATCTGTAACAGGTGAATACCATTAAATGCAGAACTAGTGGAGAGAAGCAGAATTAGAAAAGAAAGCCCTCATAATTGCAAAATCAGCATTGTTTTTACTTTTACAGCGTGAGAGTGGAGATGGTTTATTTAAAACACTTTCTTTTTTTTTTTTCCTTGAAGTTGTCTGGCGCTGACAGTGAGAACCTAAAACAAAGAAGAACACAAATCATGTCGCGAGGACTCCCAAAACAGAAACCAATAGAAGGTGTTAAACAAGTTATAGTTGTGGCTTCTGGGAAGGGTGGAGTTGGAAAATCTACTACAGCAGGTAGAATATTCATTCTGATTCTGATTAAGAATTCACACCAGCTGGCAAATGCACATTATAAAAATTATTCTTTAATTTATTGTTTATGAAGTTTACCAATAATTGATTTCTTAGTATCTGGAGGTGATATTGAGTGGAGCTTAGATTTGGAGTTAGACAGAACTAAATATAGAACCAGGTTGTCTATACCATAACTGAGGAAAAAGTGGCTAGGTTACCCAGCAGATCTTCACTTTTCTTAATTATGAAAAGGGGTCAAGTGCCCTCTTTCATAGGATGGTTATGCAAATTAAACAAGCTAACTAGTTAGACTCCATCATAGTAAGTGCTCAGTAATTGGTTACTCTTATTCTTAAAACACCTAATAACTTTAAAATATGTATGCTCTTTTCCTGTCTTTATCAATGAATATGTAGCTACATATCTGCAGTGAGATTGCTTGTTTTTGTGACCTTTTTTTTATGTTGGCCTAATATTTGAAAGTGCTTGAAAAGGTTTAAAATTGTTTTAATTATTTAAAGTGTTATCTACCCTTTATATCTTTTATGTTAACATGCTACGAATAAAGAGGTATTTTGGTGGTCTTTTTATTGATTGTAAATTTGTTGCTAAAATCCTATTTTCAGAACCCAAAAAAGAAGTGCCACCAAAATCAGAATTTGGCTGTGGTTGTAGTTTGCCTGGCATGTATATGGTCCTGAGCCTGATCCCCAGCAAAGAAAAAAGAAATAAAAGAATTAATTATTAGTCAAGACTAATAATTCAAAAAATTTTTTAAAAGAAATCTTTTATTTATAAAAATAATAGTTATGTTAGTGTAAATATAAAAGGGAAGTTTTTTCCAGTTCTCACTAGAGGTAACTTGAATTTTTTTTCAGCTTTATTGAGGTGTTTTGACAAATGAATTTTGTGTATATTTAAGGTATAGAATTTGGTGTTTTGATATACATACATATTGTGAAATGATATCCACAATTAAGGTAATTAACACATCCATTACCCCACCTAGTTAATTTTTGCATGTGTGTGGTGAGAATACTATCAGTGAATTTCAGTTGTACGTTATTATTAACTATAATCACCTGCTGTACATCAGGTCTGTAGAACTTATAACTTTAACTTGTATTAGACCCTTGTAATTTATTAATTTGGAGCCATAAAGTATTCATGTTTTATAAATACCTCATATTGAATTTTCAGTGAGTTCAGTAGGAATGGCTGCTAATTTAGGCCTTACCCAATCTCTTCTTGCAGTTGATTTTTTTTAAGAAAAATTTTATCTTCATTACATTTCATTTTGTAAATTTTTGACCCAGTTCTAGACTGGCAAGATTTTTAAAAAAATTTGTGTTCTTTTCAGATTGTTAGCCTAAAGTTAAGAAGAATATATTTACATTTAAATTCTTTAGTTCTATTGAAGCCTTTTTAAAATAAGACTGGGTCCGAATTCTGTGCATTTCATTAGAGGTCTTCTGTGTAAACTTGAAGCCATATTTTGTACCTTCTTGGTATAATTGTTTTATAGTTGTACAACCAGCAACCAGCTATAGAGTGTTATTAGCTTTGGTTTTTCCATTTTGACCTGAAGGAAATTGTGGAAGAGTTTGTCAGATGTTTTAGAGAAATTAAGGTTTATCAAGTGTTGTGAGATTATTATCCATATCTATTTGTTAGATACTGTACTATTATTAAAAATGATTAGTGATTTGTTCTTAATGAATTCAGGCTATACCTACACATTTTTTTTTCCTTAAAGGCTTATAACCCATTTGGTGATTTGTTCTTAAAATTTAGAAGCTCTTAATCTTTGGTTCTAGAATCTTCTCTAGTTTTGGAAAATTTGGAGTACATTAACCTGTTTTCAGTAGTGTGAATTCTTTTACACACTGTGATTACATAGACTGGATAAAGATGGGAAGTGCTTTCCCGATTATACTTGTGTGTGCATTTTTTGGGGTCTGTAGGCTAGCTGCTTGTTTAAAACAGATTGTTTATTGTTTTTAGTTGGAAGATGATCTGTTGTCATGGAATGTGACAACTTTTAAATAGGAAAATGTATGAAAAAGTGAATAGAGTGTGACACGTAGTAGGTGCTTCAGTAAATGTCCTTTACTTATTTTTCCCCTTTAACATTGTACCATGTGTTCCAAACAGCTAGTCTGTATTTTTTCATGACAGTTCTGTCAGCATACCCAAGCCTTAGAAATAGGTTATTTCTTTGTAACTCTGTTGATATTAGATTTCTTTCCCCTGATGTATTTTTTCCTTTTCCAAACTATTTAAAAATACTTACCATTTGAATATGTACACTAGAAATATTTTCAAGATATGCTAGAGATACTTATCAAGTTCCATACCTTATGTACTTTATTTATTTATCTATGTATGGTACTGTGGAATGAACTCAGGGGCACTTAGCCACTGAGCCATATCTGTAGCCCTTTTTATTTTTTACTTTGAAATGGGGTCTCTCAAAGTTGCTTAGAGCCTCACTAAGTTTCTGATGCTGGCTTTGATCTCATGATTCTCCTGCCTCAGCCTAAGCACTTTAAATATAGTATTTCATTTAATCCTCACAACAATTATAAAGTAGGAATTATCTTTGTAGAGGAGGAAGCAGATTTACAGGTAAAATAATGTTATACAATAGAAGGTGCTAGAGGGTTGGTTATACAATAGAAGGTGCTAGAGCTGGGATTATACAATAGAAGGGTTATACAATAGAAGGTGTTAGAGCTGGTATTTGCATCAGGTCTGCTGCCTTCTTCTCCTCCTCCTTTTTCTTCTTCTTCTCCTTCTTCTTCTTTACTGGGGAGTGAACCCAGGGGTACTTTTCCACTGAGTTACATCCCCAGCCTTTTTAATTTAATTTAATTTTTTTATTTTGAGACAGGATCTTGGTAAGTTGTGTAGGGCCTTATGAAGTTGCTGAGGCTGTCCTTAGTTTTACCATCCTTCTGCCTCAGCCTCCTGAGCCACTGGGATTACAGCATGTTCCATTGATCCTAGTGTAACTACTTTAAAGGAAACACTTTGATACAATTTATGGTATTGTTCTATAAGGAAATGTTATTCACAGTATGAGGGTCTATTTATTTATCAATCTTGGAAGTATGTTATTGATGACCTCTCTTCTTAGATGTAGCATTCTTCCATTGCTGGACTAAAGAAGGCTTTGGGATCACTACTTTCCTACTTTAGATCTCTTTGATTCACTGGCATAAGCAATTTGGGAAGCACATTTTATCCTTTTACCTTCTTCTCTTCCCTCTGTACAGTTGCCCAACCTTTTGTATACATGTGTATTTATGAGTTTAGATACTTGGGACTCCTAAAATATCAGCATTTATTTCTAAAAGACATAGGATCATATCCATTTTTATTTATCAAAAGATAAATTTCTATAAAATATGCTTTTTAAAATAATTGAATTATGTTTTAAAATAAAAAAGCCAAGTGGATTATTTGAACAAAATTGTAACAGTTTATAAACTATTTAAAATGTTAATTTTAGGACCAGTATCTATTGCTAAATTATGTTATTGCTAAATTGCTTTTTTTTTTTTT